CTGCTCCTCTTTTCCCCTTTGTCTCTTTTTTCCTTTTTCTTGCTCTTGTGCTCCTTTCTGTCTTTCTCTCCGAGAGCTTTCTTCATATCTTTCAAAGGATCCAAACTATCCTTCAGTCTACGATCCTTCTTCTCTCTCTCCTCTTCACTTATCCCTTTTCTCTTTTCTTTTTCTTTGCTCTCCTCTTTGTCTTTGCTGCTTTTCAGATACCACGGCGTGACCTCAGACCCCGGCTGGGGTCCCAATGACACCAGTAAGCCAATGGCTCTTTCCTGCTTCTCCTAGAAACCCCCCCCCACAAAAACAACAACAGAAAACAAATATTTTGTGTTATTTTTTTCATTACTGTAGCACACTTTTTGTTTATACATGTGTTTGTTTTGTTTATACAATACCCAACAGATAGGAGAATGTAAATATCTGAGTAGCCAGACGGGACATTAACCTGTCTTTAACCTTCCACGAGCTCCATAGTACTTGTTCCTAAGTGCAAATAGCAGAGCTAACTGTCTGAGGCATCATGTGTGCCGCATGCTGTGTGCTATTTGAGCAGCTCCCTCACATAAAACCAGCAGTGGGAAGATGTCAAAAGCAAACTATTTCTTGTTGTGTGATAAAGGAAAACAGTGGGAAAAAATGCGACCTGATACTCTCGACTGTATTCCAAGCTAAAGTCGAAAAGGTCTAGAAGAGCAGATGAACTGCTTTTTGATTGGTCTCTATCTTAGCTTCATATTGTTAAAACAGGAAGTTGTTGATGGGGTAGGAAAGTTTGAAAGGTACGAAACTGGTAAAAGTTTTTGTATTTTGTAGGTTTGGCCTGTGGGTGTGGGAAAAATAGTTTCTGGTGCTACATATAAAAAAAAAAACAATAACAAGTTTCACTTACATGTATGAAATTCTGTAGCCTGACTTAAACCCGCAATATTTAGAAAAAAAGCCTCTTGGAGACATGCTCTAAACCCAACAGGAAGTCCAGTGTTTTAAATGTAAAATGCTTTTTTTCAGGCAGTACACTTTATCAAACTCCTCTTAGAGAACTTTAATCTAAAGACCTTGGCAATGCCAAACTAAGAAGTTTTTGAGTTTGTGTTGTCTGGTGCGTCCATGTCAGCTCAGCAAATTTTGATTAGTTGCCACAAAAAGCTCTTATAACTCAAATGTACACTGTCCACTCTGTCCTGAGCTTGACGTCCTGGAAGCGAGTCTGGAGACATCTACACAAAGTCAGCGCGACAGCTAGTGGCAACAGGAAATCAGCATTAGGTGATAAATGGTGGCTGACAATATCCCTTTTGAAATCCAAACACTCAATACAGCAACGTGACATACAATTAGTAGGTGTTCTTGAAAGAAAGAAAGTGCTTATACAAAGTGTTTGGAAGTAGTGCATATACACATATGTATATACATGAAAGGTTACCAAGGAAACCAGAAATGTTTTTGAGAGCGTTTTCAAAATGCTGCGTTTTCCATCAGCAAAAACGCTGTCTCAGTGTGGACAGGAGGCCGAAACAGAGAGAAAACAATGCGTTTTCAAACGACAACGCATTAGTGTGGACGTAGCCTGAGTGTAGCGTATCTCATTATGCACCAATGTGTTTCCCACCACACCACTTCAAAAATTCAACTTCCTGTTGAGTTCTGAATTTACTGAAGCAAAAAAATTTTAATTAACTAAAACACAACAACTGTTATGAATATTCTCTGCCATTAAAACAGGACACACAATAAACTAATATACTTCAGCAAATCATTAAATAAATGTAAATGGTACTAAAGTGCCTCTGCTTTGCCATCAGCAGCATTTTGGCATTTTCTGACCTGTGATTGGAAAGCCTTGATCACATCCACGGGCTTTAACTTGTATTTATATTGTCTGTCTGAATTAATTTCCCACCCGTCTCATGCTGCATCTATTTACGCTGCATGCATACATACTGGCACTGGGCTGCAGAATAGAATAGCAGGTATGATGACAACAAGACAAAAATTTAAACTGATTGCATTGCTTTTTAAAGTGTGGTGATAACAAACCACTCAAATGACATCTGAGAAAACTACACCCACTAATGATGAGATTAGATAAGAATCGTCTTTTCTCTGGCAACATTTCAAAAACATACAAAGCATTTAGCATTTTTGTGACTGAGCTGAAAAGCAAGATTTTGCAGATCCACTCCTAACTACTAAAGGTTTTTAATGGAAAAAATGAAAATGTAAATGGTATTCAGCACTGGACCTGCAACCACAGACCATGCAGGACACTGAACCCAGATGTGGTACCAAACTTGCAAAAGCTTTGCTATCATTCAGCTGCTACGTCAGAGCAAAAGAAAAGCATGAAAGAGAAGACTGACAGAAGCAGCAGCACGGACACCTTTTCTTCTTTCTTTTCCCTGAGATACTCCTCATTCCCCTTCTTCTCCGAGGACTCCTCCAGGGGGAAAAGATTGAGATGCTCCAGAGCTCCACTTCCTCCACCCTGTTCCTCATCACCATCATCTCTGCTTCCTCCTGTTGGCTGAAGAGCAGCTCGGGCTTTCCTTCTCAGATACTCTGTACGTGCCTGTAAACAATGAACAACAATTAAAGGACATTCATGGGCACAGCAAAGCTTATTTAACCTTCATAATAAAAAACTAAACTCAAATCATAAATACTTAAGTTTTCTACTGGTGCCAATTTAGAGACGTACAGTACATTTACAGCAATCTGAATAGTAACACACAGGAAATGTTAGCATTGATTTCCAGGTGTTGTTTTTTTTTTTTTAAATATTAACAAAAGACAGCATACAACAGTAAATGTGTTGTTTTTTACAATTGTAGAGGATAGGCGTGCACTAGTGAGAGATCTATTAGGGATGCAGTGATTGCAAAACTCTGGACCAATACTGATGTTTAAAATAACAACTTGTTTGTTTTTTAATTAGTATATTACATATTTTTACCATTAACTATCCACCCTTTTTTGGCAGGGGAAATAAAGAAAAGATCACTACACCGTTTGAACATTTAGTCAGCACAAAAGTTAGCTGACACATCAGAGAAACAATGCTAATCAGCAGTCAACAAGGACAGTATCTGATGCTCATACACTCTACGTATTATAATGCATACGTGGTTGCTAATATTTAGTCTGCTTTCACTCTGTTGTTTCATAAAAACAGGGTGTTTCCTGTCTCAGTGTGGGCCTTTTAAGGGGTTCTGGACATCTGGGTTACTTAACGTATCAAAGGTCTATATGTTTTCCAATACATTTTGTCTATTTGATCAACAAAAATTTATTTTAAGCTTTAGTAAGTTAAATAAAATGGTTAAAAATATTTTTAGTGACAGTGGATGGCAAAAAAAACCCTCACTGATGGGCTCAAAGCTTCTTTAAATACAGTAAAACCCTAATAATCTCTGCAATGCAACACATAAGTGTAGCAGAGAACAATCTGTTCTCGCATGATAACATTTTATTCCGGCTCTGCACGGCCCACTACATTTTACCCCCTGTGATACTGAGCTACTTCAATGTCATCTTATGTTTCCTGTCCTTTACTTTAATGTACAGTACTGACATTATTTTTTTTGGGTAACTTTTCTGTAATACATTTGATTTCAAAAAAATTCTGCCTTATTAATATATTTATTTTTTAGATTTCCATCCCATTATAAAAAGCTTTAATATTCTAGATATTTATTTATTGTGCAAAATGTAGATTAAAAAGAGAATGCATTGCATTTTGCAATTTTTATTCACAACTGTTATTGTTGTTTATAACCAATGTTTTAAATGATTTTGTTGGCAGCAACAGATCTCAAAAAGTTGGGACAGTGGTAACAAAAGGCTGGAAAAGTAAGCTTAACTAAAAGGAAACAGCTAGAGGAATATTTTGCAACTAAGTTAACTGCCAACCGCTCAGTAACATGACTGGGTATGCAAAAACTGTGTCTACAAGTTGTGTACCAATTTCAGCATAAAGCTCCTAAATGTAAAGTTACAAAGACTTTGAATATCAATACTAGATGCCTGTGATTTTTGGCAACACAGGCAACAGTGCAGTAAAAATAGGCAGGATTCTGTCATGGAGTCACTGCATGGGTTCAGGAACACTTCCAGAAATTACTGTTACACTTCAAAGTAGCCATATGTGAACATGATACAAAAACGCTGCCTTCTCTGGGCCAAAGCCTATTCAAAATGGACTGAGGCACAGTAGAAACTGTTTCTCAAGGTACAACGTGTGCATTAGTGCCTATGGAACTGGCAGCTTGCAAATCTGGAAAGGTACCATCAGTGCTTCAAGGTATATTGTATTTAGGTTTACTTAATTTAAAAATCCTCACTGTTTTCAGCAACACTTTACACAGTATTCTAACTTTTTTGTAACTAGGGTTGGACTAAGAGCATCTCAGGTAGGCTCTACTGAAAAAGGACATTTACTGTACACTTTTATTATAAATGTACGTTTTTTTATGTTGTTCAAGTTAGTAACCTTGCTTCTGATCATATCTGGTTTGAATTTGAGGTATCCTGCTCAAACTACATGGGAAATAGAGCAAAAAGTATGTACAGTAACAGCACGCCACGGTCATCCACCCGGAGTCACCTCTTGCTCCGCGCGTTCCACGCGACGCTTGGCCTCGCGCTCCTCCTCTGCTGCCTGGGCCTCGTCCCTCCGCACTCGAGCGACGTTGTCTTTGTTGCGGACATGCCAGCTCTTCTTCGGAAGGATGTTCATTGTTCCCTTGGCGGCTGTTACTACTATAGGTTAGCAGTCGGCTAGCAGCGGCAAAAGTGGAAGGAAAACGTGAATAAGTTCCCCCAAATAAAGCCGCTAGTTGTGGAAGGAAATGCGTCAATGCCCCAAAGCGGAAAAATAGAATAAAAATATATAAATATACAAAAACAAACTTTATATTTGCAGCTTTGACCTCCCAAGAGGCAGAGCTAACGAGATAATGTTAGCCGATGTTTGCTACTTTCCACATCTACTTTACCTTAAGGACTCAGCACCACGCATAGATATCACATTTCCGCCAATTTAGCAATAATTTTTTTAACATTTTACTCTCTAAAACAGGGCCCAGGCACTGTCACCAACTTGTTGAGTGAAGATTTTTTTCTTGTTGGACAGGTAGCAGGACCTCACAGGAACAGGCAGACCCAAACAGGAAGTAAACAGTAGCTCCACGTTGAAGCAATAACACAATGGCGACAGCAGAGGGGGCTGTTATGTTTCTCATTTTATTTTATTATGTAAAGAAAAGAATATCTGCTTTGAAGGACAGACAGAAAAGGCACTAATCTATTTACATATTGGAAATGTTATACTCTAATAACGATAAAGTTTTAATTCTCCTTCTTTATGTATTCCTTTTAAAAAAATCACAACTTTTAATACAGTTATCTTCGTGCAGACGTGTGTGGTAAAACCTAGCCTGCATTAAATTATAAACATAAAAACAAGTCTTATTATGTTGTTTTCAAGACGGTAGATCCTTGCCCATATCGTTTTCAATCTTGTACTCCTGCATGATGTGTCGGTATATGAGCTTGCCGAGTCAGGCTCTCAATCTGCTTGATCAGGAACTGTTTGTCACGGCTCTCCTGTAAACCAAAAACTCATAAGTCCATGTGAGAATCAGGAAACCATTTAACTTACTGTTTCAAAGTGAAGCCTAATGACGTATATAAAAGATCACCATTTAATTTCGGGACTGTAGGGTCATTATAAACTGTAAGGTAATTAACGCAGATAGGTTTGTATATTTGGACTGGACTGTGTGTAGTTGTTGTAAAGTGCCTGTGAATACATCCTCTTTGAATTCCAAGATTTTACCTATCAACACATGATATTAATCCTCGGCAGGTTTTAAAATGAAGTTAATGCAAATACATACAAGCAGAAAGTTATTATATATTAGACTGTTTCATTTTGTAACAAATACTGAAACATGATGCAGAAGCAGTTGTAGAAAACTGATAGCACAGTTTAAAAAGACTGGCTCGTTTGGAAAGGTTGCCAGGAGAAAGCCTATTTACTGTAAATCATGGCAACACAGCTTAAGTCTAAACAAACCTTAAGACTTCTGAAACAATGTCCTTTGTTCAGTTTAGACCAAAGTGGCGATCCTTGACCATAATGTGTAGCATCATGTTTGGTGAAAACCAGGCACAGCATATCAGCACAAACATTTCAAACCAACTGTCCAGCACGGTGCTGGAGGGGTAATGATTTGTGCTTGTTATTTGCACCCACTGGACCTGAGCACTTTGCAGTGATTGAGTCAACCTTAAACTCTTCTGTATACCAAAGTATTCTAGAGTCAACTATGAGACCATCTGTCTGACAGCTAAAGCTTGGCTGAATTTGGGTCATGCAGCAGGACAGTGATCCCAAGAACAGCAGCAAATCTATAACTGAATGGTTGACAAAGAAAAGAGTCAAGGTGCTGCAATTGTCCAGTCAAATTCCTAACCTTAAACATATTGAAAAGCTGTGGTGGGCCAAAATTCCTTCATAACAATGTGAGAGACTAATAAAGTCATACAGTTCTAACAGCTACTGAATCAGGAAGTGTACCTAGTTGTACCTAGTTTGTCACACAGCGCTTCTGCATTTTGGCATAATTTTTGTTAAGTAATCACATGGTGTAATACATCATGTTAGAGTCTGATAAGGACCAGATGATTTTTTTTGTTACTATGTCCTGAACAATTGAAAGAGGGTGTATTTACTTTCCTTCTTTGGCTTTTTCCTTAAGTACATGACTTTATCTAATAATAATAGTAATAATAATAATAGTAATAATAATAAAGCAGTTTACCAGTTTAAGCTGAGCTTTTAGCAGTGCAATGCTTCTCCCATAGACAGTTGCTAAAGCTACGACATAGCACATCACCACACTGCCAGGGAGAAGAGAGACATAATATTACTCCATGAAATGGACAGTAAGGACTATTTAATATGCAGGTCATCATTACACAAATGGCATACTGAGAGTTCACGCACATTGCTAATGCAAAAAGAGGGATGGAGAACGCCTGGGAGCCGACGAAGAAGAGAAACTCCTGTGTGACGTTAGAGAGATTGTTGAATGAGTCTGGAACAGTTGACCACATGGTACTGGATGAGTGGAAAGGACCACAACCGTAAGAGGGACGGATCCTGTTTGAGGAAGAGGGACACACTTGTCCTCAGCAATGTTAAATAACATGAAAAATGTTTTCATGCAAAGTTTATAGCAGTGACAGGATCCAGCAAGTTTTCTTACAGTGATGCAGAAAAAGCAGTTGTGTTGCAACTGTTACAGGTAAGTATGAAACACTCACTCAGAGAGACTGTAAATCAAGACAACTGTTGCCAAACCCCATCCAAACAGGAGCACCACCAGAAAAAAGAAGGTGGAGGTGGTAGAACGAAACGTCCTCAGCGCTGGCCGACAGTTTTGGAAGAGTGTTATCTGCGGGGGGAAAGTGGCAATTTAATAGTGGATTAGGGACACAATCACCAAGCAATGTGTGACGTGTTGGCGGTGTTAAAGCTAGAGCCTCACCTTCTTGCAGTAAAACAGGATGACAAACTTCAAGGTGTTGATGGCGGGCAGCAGAGGGCAAAAAAGAGCTCCCACCCAGACCACAGTCTGACCATAAACCAGGCCAAGCACATTGGAGGGAACCACAAACTCCTGCCGCCCCACCCACTGAACAGGCTTACAGGAACAGTTATCCACCACAAGCCTACCACATACACAAAAAAACAGCTGAACACAAGACTGATTGACCAGTATTCAAATATACAGCATGCATTTGCATGATGTGCATTAATACGACTCATATCTTTATGCTATAAAAAGTACCTGCGTGGAAATTCAACCAGCAGAAAAACAGCAACGGTGATGAGGAGGTCAAACATTGTGAGCTTGTACATTTCCTGCCCCACACGTGTTTCCCAGCACTACCAATAAGAAAAGATAAGATTGTCTTTCAGTGTGGACATGCTGAATATATTCAAAGCTGATGTTACTGTTGTGTTAACCTCTTTGTCTCCACACACAGGCTGTTATAGCAGCTGTTAAAGAGCGCGTTTTGTATTTTACTCAAGCCTCCTTCAGCGGAACGAGGCAGTCGCAGAGCTGCTACTGTTCTCCCCAAGAGATCAAAAAATATTTACTGAAAAACCTGACATGCTTTACCATTATTGTTTATGACTTTTTAAAATACAAACGGAGTGTAAATGAGTTTCCAGTTCAATTATTCTGTCAGTTTTTCTTTTGCACGTCGAAGCCTTCAAGGGATCCTGTTTAATTTACCCAGCAAAGTCTTGATCCAGCAACAAACTGAAAGCACTGCTTTTTCTCATGACAGACAACTTAAACACAAACAACAGAAGGTCTGTCATATAGGACCCCCTCCGCGCTGTTACACTCTGAAAATGAAGATCAGTAATATAATTACTTGGAATTCATCGTAGTTGTACCCGCACAGTGTACAGTTTCCTTTGAGCTCGTTAGGGTAGCAGGTGATCTGACTCCACAGGGTGTAGAGGAGGACGCCCAGACTCACCAGACGCAGAAACACTGCCCTGGGTGTGGAAGAGAAATGGGTCATTTTCATTCATCTAATTTTAATTTCACACTAATCTTACTTGATAACTCAACACAGATAAGGATACACTACCATATTTACAAATGTGTTACATAAAACTAATGACCAGGTTTAAAGCAGGGAAGGTTTTAAGCTGTTTTTTGTGTTTATTTTACCTTGAGGGCCCCATGAACAACGTTTTAGCTGATGTAAGTTGTGTGGGAGCCAGGGTGAGCTAGTATTTTTTTTTTTTAAAACTGAAGGACGTGCCACACGAAGTAACCTGAGCTGAAATTGAATTGTAGAACAGGTAAGGTGGTGATTGCAGCATAATTTCCTTCGTATTGCACACTATATTGGAGAATCATGGCAAAAGCATTATAGCAGCTTGTGTATAGCCATAGTGGCCAGATAATAAAACATGTGGGTTAGATCATATTTATCATCAGGCATTTAACATTTTGCTGTTTGTTTGATCCATGGCTTGTGACTAGACCCATTATTGTCTGCTCTGTTAGAGCCAGTCGTTAAGGATGAACCTGGCAGTCTTGATAATTATGGGCCTAGTTATAGTACTATGATTAAAGTGAGTAAAATATTTATTGTGTTTAATATTCTGGTCAATTTTTAAAATAGGTGCAGCAGCATCATTATTATCAATAGTTGTTATAGTGTTATAATTCTGCATTTACTCTCTTATTTACAATAAAAATTTCCACATTTGCTGGAGTTTGTCATATCTCATTGTGTATTTGTGATAAGAAGATATGGGCTTGGAGCGACTGATCAGATTTTTTTTTTTCAAGCATTACAAACACAAACAAATTAAATGCATGTGACATAATCTCTTTCTCACAAACCTTAAGAGAGCCAATATGATAGTAGTGCTGGGGGAGTATTGCTCTACTAAGGCGATCTTGTCACACAGCAGAGGCACCACAAAGTTTCCAGCAGTGATGACCATGGACGGGAGATACTGAATAATAAAGCCAAGGATCCCTTGCTCATCAGCCCTATTCTGTTTAGCAGAAATGGGAGATGGTCACCCAGAGCTTCAAGAAGATCATGTTGGCATCATTATTTTTACATCGTTTACCTGGCTGAACTGTGTGGTCACATAGATGCCGTAGAAAGCTCCTCCAATGAACCCAAGTGAAAGAAAAGTCATTAAAACACGCAGAGAGTATAAAATCACTTTTTTTGATGTTGACAGATCAGCCTCGTGTCTCTTTCGACTCTCCTCCTCCAGATCCACCTGGCCGAGGGAGAGAAGAGAAATGAGGGGTCACCTGAAGGCACATCGTGTATACGAAACTGTGGAGCAAAGCTGCCACGTGTGGGTCACGTTTCTCTTTTCCAGCACTTCATCCTGTTAAGTAGGATAGATCCCTTCTGACCTGTAGCTGGTAGAGGATGTTTTTCTGCTTCAGTTTGGTAGCTCTGTCTCCCAGGCAACTATAGTCCCATCCGGTGAACACGATCATGCTGTAACTGCTCACTCCAGTGCTGCTTCCCGTTGCCACAGCAACTCGAGCTGCAGTCCCCATCCTGTGTGTGAACAGCCAGTGAAAAGGATACAGACA